TCATTACTGAGCAATGCATCAGCATAGCACTAAATTAAGAATCAGAAAAAGCTAACTCCTAGTTTTACTCCATTGTTTACTAGTCAGGTAGTAGGACAAGTAAGTTAATAGGTCAATTAATGTTAGTAAGCATTGGTGACTATTCAACCTACTTCATGAACTGTTATGAAGATAATAGAGACAAGATGCATCAAAGAAGAGTGAAAGACCATGAAGTGCTACATAAATATTGCTGATAGGCTATAATCATTGTGCTCATTTCGCTGGTTTAGCTCATATCTACAAAGAGAAAAATCTCTTTAAATGTCTCTTAAATTTGGTAATAAATATATTTAGCAAGCATTCCAGAATTTTATAATGTCATTTTTCAGAGAAATAAAATCTTTTAATAATGTAAATACTGTAAACAATGGCTCCAATGTAATCTAACGGCAATCAGTTTATTTGAAGAATAGCTTCCTTATGCTGTAATGTACAAATCTTTGGTGCAGTCTTTTGTAATGTACTTGTTTTTACAGATGTTATTTGACTTACTCTTTGGGATAAACTCTGGTAATCCCACCATCAGTCACAACAAATCGTGCTTTCACTCCCTTGCTGGAACAGAAGACAAAAGAAGGAAATGTTCTATTGAACATATTCTAAGATACAAAGTTAGGTGTTGGTGATACAAAGAGAAGTAAGTTTCTAAAGTAAAGGAAGTAAATATATCAATAGATGCACAACAATGTTTTAATAATTTAAATTATGTATGAAATTTGTTACTTGAAAGCTGTTTAAGGAAGACATCTCATAGGAAAATAATGACTGAGGTGCATTTTGAACACGGAATATGAATTGACAGCAATGACACAGAAAGCAGGAAGGTATCACTTGTAGAGAGGAAAGTATGTATAAGGGAAAGCTACCAGAGATGGCTATTGTTTGGTATAGAAAAAAACATAAGACAAAAGGAGAGAAACAGTAAGAGGTAAAGTTTCAAGTACAAGTAACTCAATGGTCAGCTAATGAATGATTTTGAATTCCATGTCAGAGAGCTTCACCTGTATCTTGAACTTAGAACTGCATTTTAGGAGTTAGATTCTGGTAAATATGAATTGTATGGAGAACTGACTAGGAGCTGTGTGTGGAGGAATGGAGAACGTTAAAGGCAGAAAAATCAGTTGCTGTGATTTCTTAGAAATGGGATCTTAGGGCCTTGATTATGAGGTAGAGAAGAAAACATTGCTAGGAGAAATATTTAGCATTTAGTGACTGAAAATGGGGTGGAGAAGAGATTATAAATAAGAATCATATTCAGATTTTCTTGACTGGATGTATGGTAGTGCTATTAGAAATCCAAATAAACACTGACTAGAAATCCTACTTCAGCACAAACAGAAACACACAATCATGCCAATTTAATTTGGTTTATTCACCCTGAAGTGTATGTGCATGAAAAGCTGAGTAATGGCAGACACTAGTACTGAAAAACACCCACAAGTGAAAATGCAAGTTGTCAACAACTGTACAGTGATTTTCTTGAGAAATAATTATCAAATATTACCAATGAACTGTAAATTTTTGAGACTCATACCCAACTTCCACAGGAGAAACGAAACTGAAATGCAGAATATATACTTTTATTAATAAGAACAAATACTTACATATTTTTCTGCTTACTCCAGTAATTTTGGACAAGTTCATTTGTAAAGCCTGCATCAAGCAAGACTCTATTAATCAAATCTGTGTTACCTAACACAGAAAAAGGAGATCATCAGTTACACTCACAGTTCTAAAATTATGATCATAATGAAAAATATATTTTCTATTTTCAAAAGCAATTTAGAGTAGATATTTCTATGAATTTTAAAATATATTCCATATTCATTTTCTTTGTAATTTTTATATTGTTTATCTTGCCTCACATTTTCCAGGAAATAAATGGATTTAGTAGCAGAAAAATCAATTCTAAATGAGACAAATTATTTTGTAAACTTTATCAAAATATGAAATAAGCTATGTTAAGAAACAGGAAATCGTCTTTCTTTTGTGTTTTTGTTTATTTCTGTATGGTAGCATGGTGATTCCCAACCACTATAATTTTGTGACAATTTAATGTATACACACACATCAAATTTTATATATGTATATAAAATGTATATATATAGAAACAGAACTACCTCTGAAATTATCAAGTAAAAACATTCAACAAAAAGTTACTGTCTACTTTCACTTTCATTGTTATAAGACAAGCTATTTTCATTCTTTTCTATCACAAATATCAAAACATAGGATAATCTTGGAGTAAATAAGACTATGAAAAATTCATTGCTACCCACTGAGGAGCAAGGAATGGAATGAGTATCACAGAGCAGTACAATCCCAAGAATGATTTTGAAATCTACTGGTATTGGTCACAGAACCAATACCAAAGTAGATAATAGGTTGTCATTTCTTGAACAACTGAAGTGCATATTAGCCCAAGTTTAAAGATAATTGAGGAAACAGATGATGAGGATCAAAGGTCAATTATTACATATTCTTAAACAAAAACCTCTGCCTTCTTCCCATTCTCCTTGTTTCTCTCAACCCATTAAGCTCTGAAATAACCTAACAGGTACCCTCTGAAATTTCACATTTATGATAAAATTTGACTCTTTTCAAATAAAGAATATATATTCTTAACATCCTATTACGATACAAGGTGGTGGTGAGATAGGCTGGAAACATTTTTGTTGCTTTTAATTATTTTAAGTTAATATGCCTTACACCCAGGATTAAAGGATCAATTTAATCCCTAATTTGGAGTAAATTTTAGTTCATTCTAGACACTCTTTTTTTTTACTATGTTATTTTAGAAACTGAATCATTAAAAAAACAGTTCATTTGGAAAGTCAATGTTCTAATTGCCTCCAATCCCTTTAGGCAAAACAAAATAAACAGATATAGATATAAAAATTGGATTAAAATAAGTGATTCCAATTATTTTGGAATAAAAAGGAGTGATTCCAATTTTCACAGTGTTCTGAAAAGTTGTATGTTAAGAAAAACATTTCTGATAAACTCTTTTTGCAAGGAATATGAGTGTTTCATAACTTTGGTATCCAATTAAAGGAATAATCAACAATCTTATTACAGTTCTCTAGGAAATGCCTAGTACTCGTTAATAGGAAATAAACAATGACGTAAAATAACATTTCGAAGGCACTAGCTCAGTCTCAGTGAGCTTGTACTGAGTAGAAAGGTTTGGAATCATCATGTTAAGACATGATCAATGTAGACTTCAGCTCCCATGACAGGTTTTCAGAGTGGCTCACTGAAGCCACTAACTAATTTGTGCTAAAGTGAAGGAGCTAGAAAGTTATTTCTTCTCATATGCAATAAATTGAAGTTAAGGGCAGCTTTAAGAAGGGCTCTGCCTTTTTGATAACTGATAAAGTGCTTTGTTTGACCCTTCCTGATAGAAAGATAAATAACTGGAAAAAAAAAAAAAAAAAAA